GCATGGATGAAGATGTCAGCACCAGCCATTCAGAATCGGAAATTCAAGATACGCCTTCATCAACCTGATACCAGTTGAAAATATTCTGCATTGACTCAGTCAGTGCAACGACCAATATTCGGATTTCCAACAAAAATCTGAAACCAGTTAGTTATTTCTTCTATACTGGTGAGAAAACGATTTCCAACAAGTCAACTCAGACTTCTATCTATAGCCGCCCTCTTCACTGGCTCCATACTGAGGGTCAAACAGCCGGACGGCCAGTCAGAAAGAACGAGCAACAAGAAACTATGCAGTGAAATAAACCAACGGGCGGGAGCCGATTGCTCTAGAAATATGTGGGAGAAGATGGATATAGATTGGTGGTACATACGTTGAGGAAACCTTCGAATGAAATTGCGCACATTGCAGGCCATTACCAGAGTGGAATCCCAATGTGAGGCAACAGTTGGTTCGTCAATACGAGGACGACATGGAGGAGGTCGTGGGGCGAGGATTATCAGATGAGAGATTATGTGCAGAGAATAGAATAAAGTGAAGATATGTTTTTGAAGCCCTACTCGAGACCCGATAGAATAATAATAATAACATGGTACAGAAAAAGATTTCCCCATATGGAGCCTCTTCTCTGAACATCCAGGTTTGCTGTACTTAAGTGTATTATGGTGTTCAAAATTGAATAATTTTGTGTAGAGAAACTAATTTTTTTAATCTTGGACTCAGTTTTATCATACCACTAAACAATTGAAGGAAGAATTGATACAATCGTCCTTTGAGCCGTATTTACATAATTATTCAGACTTTGTACAGATAGCATCACGAGTGACGACTTTTTGAGGTGAATAACCTAAATCTCCCTTCTAAAACAAATTACTTCCCAAAGTTTTATAAGTATTGGGTTCAGTGGCTTATATCATTTCAGATTTTCACGTTGATTGGTTGGAACTGAGCCCTTTGTCTCAGGTTGACATGTCGGCTTCTTGTGCAGATGCTTTGACGATGTCTGGTCATAAATCTTTAAGTCTGTTGGTGGTTGGTGACGAGCGCAGTGTAATCCAGGATGCGCATTTCGTCCTATTTGAGACTCGTCACAGGGCGTGCCTGCTAGTTCACATCCACCAATTTGCTTCAAGATACATGACTAGGTATTGTCGAAGCATCTGCTCTAGGAGCCAGAATGTCAACCTGAAACCGAGCACTTCGGTCCAATGAGTCGACGGGAAAATCAAAATTGAATTAAATAAGTGATAAGGCCAGTTGCATAAGACGTGGCTATCGTGACCCAAGAAGTCTAAGGGGAACTATGGGCACGGGATTCGAGCATCGGTGGTAAAACTATCACTCATTGGGGAATGCAGGTGCACCCAGCTGACGAGTTAGCCCCAAATAGGGGGGAAAATGCGCATCCTGGATTCCACTGTTAGTCACCATCAACCAACTGATTCCATTGGTCTATTATATGAATCTGAATTTATGATTAACAAACATGTCACATTATTCACATTATTATACAACTACTACTTCCAATCAGTAGTGCGGTGAACAATCTCAACCGCATAACTTACTTTAACATTTGACATCGAAGCTGATGTAAACGTTGAGCGAATTCATCTGTTTCAGATTGTTCTTGAGACCATAGACGTTCAGCAACAGCTGCAGCTAATGGCCTATGAAACATACAATGAGATTAAGTAAAAGTCAATTTTATATAACTGTAGAAATCCAGTATTCTTAGGGCACCGTGATATCGAATAAAAAACAATCAACCGTCTCTTGATTTATATGTAACGCGACTAATGCCCCTTTACGCAAACAACCAACATACCGGATAACTACGGATAGAGGAAGAGATATCAAATATTACTGAGACTCTCAAGCAAAATAACCATCCAAAGATCTTCATCAACAAAATCAACACTGACATTAAATATGGTCGAAAACGTATTCCAAATACACGGGCCTCAGCAGGCGTCATTGCATATAGAGCAGAAACGTCAGACGATATCAGAAGAGTGCTCAATAAGCTCAAGACTTCAGACATACTACAAAGCAACCTTGTGAATATAAAAGACCAAATTCCAAAGGGTTCTCAATTGAATTGTGTCTATAAAGTAAAATGTTTGGAGTATGATGCGATATACATCGGACAAACATCTCAAGAAATCAAAATAAGAAGAAATCAACACCATAGAGCATCAGTTCGATCACCGAAAAATCCAGTTAGTGAACTAGAAAAGCTTGAAAAATCATCAACCATAGGCCGTCAACACTCTACGCTATAGAATCAGGTCAAAAATTGATTTTAGAAAAAAACATTGAAATATTCATCCAGAAAAATTGCATAAGTAACGAAGAACGTCTCATTTCATCAGAAGCACTTCATTTGATCAAATGGAATCCAAATTATGTGAACTGAATAGGAATGGTCGACTAAAACAGAATATGACTTAGCTGCAACACCCCCCCTTACTGCCACCATGAAATGACAAAATAAACACGAATGTGAAAGGTAACTTCATTTTTAAGCACACAGTGCTTTTACAATTTTACACACCTATAAGATCCAACAATCTACACCTGGTTTTGTTTTGTTATCTTTACCAATTGGCCAATTTGAAGACGGAAAAATGACCCCTTGCTGAGGAACTGTGATTAAATTGTTATAAACGAGAGAAGATTTTGTAAATTCTGGTTTAATAATACTTTGATAAAGCTATTAACAGCAGCATTAAATAACGAAATGTCAATAAAAAAACAATATCGTTTTGTCTTTCATTCATTGAGAAATACAAAAAGAAACCTTTATAATAAGGAATATCATATACTCAATGCCCAAATATTTTCAAACTGTTAAACGTGAAGTTGGTTTTGACATATATAGCTAAGAATAGATATTTAGTAAATGCATTTTTCTTCAGGCATTTTAACCTTTCAGACAATAGCCAATTGTGGAACCTTTCAGTTCCTATTGGCATAAGAAATTCGGATGTCTATGTTTAATTTCATTAGACATGAGGAGAGAAGTTGATACACAAGATTTCGTTGACCCAAACAAAATTCTCTCCACGATGGGATGTTGCATCTTCGCAAAAATGGAAAACAAGATCCATAGAAAACCTCGACATTACGAAATTGGTTACATCATATTATTCATTTCAATGGAGCATATGTACATAAATGCACGGGGGGAGTGGGAAAGCTCTGTAAAGGTTAATGTGTGGTGGGAAGAGTCAATGAACCAACAACAAATAATCAAACTTCGATAAGTGTAAGTGGTACACTACATTTAGTATTCTGTAACTATGTCTACCACATGTATGAATCATAAAATTGTTGTTGTGACGACAAATATTCAAACCCTCACTAAAAATATTGTCATGCAATGCCTACTCTTATGATTCAGCTCATTTTGTATGTGTGACAGCAATTTATTGCTACAATTAACCTGCTTTAATTCTTTTGCCTAATTATCAGATCAGATTTAAATGTTACAATCAATAATCTTTGTTAAGAAGTATATCCACTATTATTGTTTGTTGACTTCTACTAACCAGGGGTCTATTCACATTCACAGAAAGTGGCTGAAAAATTAGATGTGTAATAAGACTTTCAGATATACACTCATTGTCAAGCTCTGGTCAGCACACATTTGATAGGTTATAGGTGTGATTACGAGGTGACATCAGCTGGAGAACCATTGGAAAACTGGGGAATGGTACTGGAGAGTTATTTCGGACTCTTCAGCAGAATGCAACCTCCGGGGTTTTGTGATCATAAGGAAAGCTTTCAGACCATTCAGACAATGACATCCAGTCAGTTGGTGCATGAATCCTAAATCGCGACATAATGATATGACTGTTAATACACTTGGTGTTGCGTTAACAAATTCCCTACCTAGTCGATTCGTGAGCCTATTTTTCCAACAAAAACATGATATGACACGACACGCTACGCAAGAAGACAAGAAAAGAAGACTAACTGTTGACGTGGAGAGCTTCTACTATCCCGTATCAACAGTGTAAATGACTGACAGTGCTTGTGTATATATATGCTTTAAAATGTGTTTACACCTACACATTCAAACAGATATTTGGACTTCCAATCGTCCCATCCTATGTCAGTAAAAATAGGATTAGTGAAATGTTCAAGTAATAGGGCACAAAAACTAAGTAGAACTACGGGAAATCTAGGACAGGGAGTGAGGCATATTAGAGAAGATTTGAAACGTAATAATTACCGTGATAAATTATTCAGAAAGTATGTAGGGAAATGTAAAAATAAAATAAATAATAATAGTAGTGATAGTGATGATAATAATAATATTAATGACGACATGCATGTCAAACATGCGCAGGATAATGACAACACCAACAATAAGGAATCTAAATCATAAGTAGTAATTCAATACAAAAAATGAATCTCGGGAACCTTACGCAGAATTCTTAACAATGCAGGTAGCAATAAAAGTGGCATTCAAACCCACAAACTCATTTAGAAACAAGCTTTGTCGGTTAAAGGATCAGTCCTGTGGAGCCAGTTAAACAAAACAATTTAGTTTATAAAATACCCTACTGCACTGATGCTCAGATCAAACTCATAGGTTGAGGGAGAGATTGATAACAGAAGCTTTGTTTACCGAATCAACTGCGAATACGTGTAATAGGAATGATTATATAACTGTCCAGGTGGACATCTGGAAAATTCTACTACCTCTAGGACGACAAATAGGAGAGAACAAAGAAAACGATAAAAGTCAAGTTTCGAAGTCATTTGATTATAATTGATATGAATATGAACAATGATGAATTGTGTTCGAAACATCATCCAGTAAATAATACTGTTTCATTCACTGTGTGATACATCTAATAAACAAACTAACAGGGGTGTTAACCTGTCAGAAACGATATGTTTTGGGCACTACCATTCAACAGATTGAAGGCTATTCACACACAGTTTATCCTTATTTAACAAACATTTATATGGTGTTGTATTATACAGACTTACCATGTTTCAGTGAACAGGTTGGCATCATCAATGTATTGACCCCATAATAGAGCTTCTCCTCCGATTATCAAGCTTAACTGTTCATCCGTAGCTGAATAGAAACAATATTTGAAAATCAAGATATCTAAAGAGTTTAGTCTAACCAAATGCATATTTTCGAAATTTTCTTATCAAGCCTCGTAAATACATAATGAAATTACTCAGAATAGAAATGTAACACTAATGCGGTATGTTACCGAAGTACGTATTTTTCGGCCAAGTCAATTTTTGATTTTCGCGGTGATTTGACTGAACCAAAATGTTTGACCTCTTACATGGCTGGAGGCAATCGGCAGGAAGCCTTGCCCGGACCTGGGTTTTGTGCTGACTGGCCCTCACCAGTCAGCAAAGCGTATCTACAACCTTGAAGGAACTCATGTCCCTTCTGAGATTAAAAACCATGTCACAAAGTGATGCAGTCAGAGACGTTAACACCGAGCTATTTGGGCTGACTCGCGGCTGACCTCCTGTAGAACTATAGTGGATGCTTTGATTGAACACTAGTAACTAGTGTTATATGTGAATGGTTTAGACACATCACACTAGTTACTGGTGTCCAATCAAAACGTTTGACCTCTGTTTACGCGTTGGCTGCTGGTACAAATGCTTTGACGATATTTGAGGATTAATGTGATGTTGTTTGATAGCATGTGACTAACAGTGGAATTTAGGATGTGCATTTCGTCCGATTCTAAACTCGTTAGCTGGATGTACCTGCAATCCCCAATGATTGATGACATTCGCAGTGAACCTCAGTAACAATAAACTTTCATTTCAAATGTCGATGGCTTATCCACTGGGTTACCGGGACTACAACAGCAACCTTTTGTGCAACGACTAATAGTGATTAATTATTTTTTGGGTTAATTTATGGGTTTCAATCCTCTAGCTAGAAGCCCCATGTTCCACTGGGAACGTAAAGGAAAAAAATGCGTCCGAGGCAGAGTGGTGGGAATCGCGCCAACGATGCATGCAATCGGGGGTTCAATACTAAGGTGACGCACTCCTTTTCCTCTCTAAGCCAGTAATAAGACTGGTAAAGAAGGAGGGTTTGGCATGAGGCTGGCAACCTCATCTCGTAAACGAATAAACACCACTGCTACCGAAACTTCAAACTTCTAGCTCGAAACCCCATGTTCTACTGGGAAAGTAAAGAAATTAAATATAATAGGTTTCCAGTCTGAGTGGGTACACTGTCACTGACTGCGGAATGCATGTAAATCCAGCCAACAAGTGATAAATAGTACGAGATTTCAAGTCTGGATTCCAGTCACCAAGTGCCAATTCTGAAGACGTTTTTATTACTTAAGTGCAAAGCCAAACAAAGAAATCAACTAAAACAGGTATTTATTCATATTTCTGTTCTTTAGTTATCGTAACAGAAGTGCTTGAATTATCAGGACATCGTGAATAACAGACCAAACCGGATGTGGCGTTTACTGATAAGTTATTTCGGTTACATTATGAGTTCCACCCGTTTCGTTTCATTGAAATTTTTCTCCAATCGTTTTCGTTTCAAGTGAGACATGGAATTTCAAGCTTCAGCTTTGGCATTTCAGTAGCACTTGTATTGTGCTTTTATATGATATGGTTACTAGTCTTCTAACTAACCTGCCCTCTTTTGGGGGATTTCGCTATAGCCTGACTGAGATTTTGGGAATGAGTCAGATGAGAATGGAAGCTGGACAATGTATGTGGTCGATGTGCATTGAAGTAACATACTTAAGTTCACTAGACTTCCGTTTCAAATAAACACCGTCATTGGACCAACTCAGATTCCAAAGATTAAAAACCTTTTGATACATTTTATGGACAACAGAAGTTCGGTCAAGTTGAATAAAAGTAGTGAACATCTATGCCTGAAGAAGCAGCGAAGACAGGATTCCAAGTGAACATAGAAAAGACAGATATATTGAAGATAACCAACCAACCAACCAGCCAACAGCAAAAACATCAACAAAAAAATTACAGCAGTAATCAAGACCAACGGGAGAGATTTGTCAGAGGTTATTTCACTCACTTATCTGGCTAGAAAGCACGGTTTCAACTACAGGTAGTCGGAACAAATCAAGATGTCAAAGCCAGCCAGCCAGCCAGAATCTGAAATGAAAGATATGACTTCATCCAACTGAAACCAGTTTCGAAATCTACTTCTCACACTCAACCATCGTAAAGAACAAGATTCGGATTCTGTTCAACACAAACGTGTAGTCAGACAGTCAGTTCTTCTATACGGGTCAGGAACTTGCACTGCGCATACGTCACGAAAAGGATTTCCAACAAGTCACTTCAGACTTCTATCAACAGCTGCCCACTTTGCTTGCTGGCTCCATATTGAAGATCGACTGGCCGGCCAGCTGGCTGGCTGGCCAGGAAGAGTTAGCAACAAGAAACTCTGGCTGGCTGGGAACAAACCAACCAATGGGTGATAGCCGATTGCGCAACAAATATGTAAGAGAAAATGGAGATGGATTGATGGGGCATACGTTGAGGAGGCTGTCGTATGACATCATTGGCAGTGAAGGCCATCACTCGAATGGAATCCAAATGGGAAACGACTAGCTGGTCATTGGTGCGAGAGTAATATGCAGGAGATCGTGTAGCGAGTTGGAGCAGATGAGAGATTGTTGTCAGTCGTGGAGCCATCCAGCTAAGGAGGACATCGGAAAGTAGGAGAAAGTTGGGATGTGTTTTTGAAGCCCTATGTTCCCCTCGGAACCCAAAGGAACAATAATAATAGTGGATATCTATACACCGAAGCGGACAAACAGTTTTGTTGTGTTTTCTCTAACATCTTGTTACTTTTTGCATTTCATTATATACACAGTTTAAAAATTTCGTTAGAAAACAGTCTCTTCAAGAGGTAGTGCACGATTACATCTCATACATTTCATGTAACATCTATATTTGTATATTGTATCGACACTTTGCTTGAAGCGACGAATTCATCTGCAAAAACACTAAGCTCTTTGGCAAGTAACTATGCCTCCTCAAATGAATGTTACTAACGTCTTAAGTTGGTAAGAAGGTACCAAACACATGTCTCGAATAGTCTGTTCTTTTAATCACTTATTACAACTGAAAGACAAGGTCGGGAAAGTGAAACAGACCTTCTTCAATCTGAAATCAGTGGGAGAATGTGCAGCACTCAGCAATAACAAAAAGATTTGCGTTGTCAAAACTAATGTAAAGCCCATGTTTCTGTATTATTGAAAGACTTCACTTGAGTCACCAATCATTTCTAACAGGTTTCAGACGTTTATCAACAGCTGCCTTCACTCTATACTGAAGAGTGGATAGGCAGGCAGAAACGTTTTACAAAAACAATCCCTGGCAATGAACCAACCAAGAGTTAGTGACTCAACAAATATACCGAAGAAAATGTAGGTGGATTAGGCGTATGCTGAGGTGGTCGTTGAATGATATCACGCGTCATCCAAGTACTCGAATAGAAAATACGTGTTGGACGTCCGTGGGTATGCAGACTTGATTAGAACTTACGGAAAATCAACCGATAGCTGAAAAAGGCTGCAGAGAACATATTTAAATACAGATTTACTGTTAAAGTTCCATATTCAACTCGGAAGCCAAAAGAATAACAAATGTGATACACATCGTGGGTGATCATTCAGGCAGCTCGACACTTAAGTTTTCTATCTGTTTGTGGGTCAAGATGTGTTAGTTCATTGAAGCCGCAAAGTAGCATGTATATAAATTGAACTTTGTGAAATATGCGGACGATCTAATCGTGTCATTGTATGTTAAATTCAAGTTTAACCGCACTAAGATGAACGAAATCGCTCCAAATTTCAGACTGTTAATTTCAGTTTCCGATGTAAAAGAAAGTTGAGTGAAGCTGCTAATTCCTATGGCTGTTGTAAAATTGATGATAATGACATCGAAATCAAGTCTTACGATAAGTGTCTTGAAATAATTCTTACTTCTGATCTATCCTGGTCTTCCCAAGTCTTAGCGGTTTCTAAAAGAATATTTCGTCTGACGTTTCAGATTAAGAAGTGAAGGCACTCAAGAATAACTCAACCTCTCCTCTTACAGTTTGTCAACTCGTGCATCTTACCTATTCTTCTTTGCTGTTCACCCTTATTCTTTCCTGGATTGCTTAAAAAGGACTATATCATACTTCGTAGAAAGCTGAGGATTGTCAGTAGGGCAACTGGTATCCCATTGGGCCATGTCATTGACATCCTCACTGACAGGCACTTGATTTCATGCAAAAAATTTGCTAAAGGGATTTTGTCAAACTGTGAGCAGCTTTTACCTTGCATCTTCTGCTCAGGTTAAACAAGAAGTTATTTCAAAATACTTTATGCGCAGACGTCTAAGTATAAAAATTCCACGATACCATATTTGACGCGTATTTAATGTGACGAAAATAGTGTCAGACACGAACTAACTAACCTTCCTTGCACTAGTAAATAAAAAACAATTTTCTCCACCTTTAAAACATCAAGCGTTACTGTTATTATTATTCTTATATTTATAACCCTCTCGAACTTTGTTTATTTATTTTCTCCTAAGTATAAACATTATTTAAGCTCTGTATTAATTGTTATTTTTTGTTATTCTCCTCACCGTGCTATGTCAAGAGAACATTAGATTCAATACTCTATAACATGCTATGATTTCCATACTGTATCGTCAATAATGTTTGAAACAAACCCTCTGATTATTGGAGTTTTAATTCTAATTTTGTACTTTGCACATTTTTGACATTATTCCTACTGTAAATGTGGACAAATTCCTGTGGTGAATTTTTTAATTTTTCGAGTAAATCAGATGCAATTTTGTGGCAAATGGTGGGAATTCCATTCTGTATTATAAGTACTGTTTTTGGAATAAAGTATGTTATTACCATTGCGTCGGTGGCATAGCGGTTAGGACGCTCGCCGACCATGCACATGGTCCAGTGTTCGATCCCCTGCCGGCGCACTTCTTTACCTCGCTAAGCCAGAAATAATACTGGTGAAGAGGAAAGGTTGGGCATGAGGCTAGCAACCCCATCCCGTGAAATAAACAGTGCTAAAGAAACTTCAAGCTATTAGCTTGAAGCCCTATGTTCCACTGGGGAACGTGAAGGAAAAAAATTACCATTATTAAAGTGTATGAGAAGATTTAACAATTTTACCTTCAAATGAAATTAAATCGCATTCATAAATTCTCTTCCAATCATCACCAGGTTCCACTTTACTCAAATCCCAACATGAACTCAATATTGCTCTATATCCGGTTTTCGTAACTTCATCCAATATTTGTGCCCAATCAGGTTTATACAAGTGAATCACGACAGGAGTTTCTTCCTAAAATTGAGAAGGAGTAGATGTGAAGTTGATAAAATAAGCAGAAAGGTGTTGTAATTGCTTGACTGACAATAGGTTTTCAGAGATATATAAAAACTGAATGAGTTCTGAGGCATGATCACACTTCTTTGTTGATTTGATTATCGGGATCATTTGTGTTTCATGCACTCTGTCAGCTTGTAATCCAACTCCTCATACCATCTGAACTGGCCACTCACTGAACTTGGAGAGACTACTCAAACTTTCAGAAAACTTTCAGTAACCAGTTAGCATGCATATTCTTTATGGATTAATCAGTGAGTCAGTTGACTCCAACAATAAAGTATCAGTTCAAGGTGAAATGCAGCGATAAGTCATCTTACTGTTTGAAAATTGTATACCAGTTCCAAAGTTTGAAAGAATGGAAATGACCACATCTCAGGGGCTGATCAATATACAATTGAGAGACAATTTTCTCTTGGGTTCCAAGTGGAACATACAGAATCAACAACACATCTCCACTTTCTTGTATTTTCCGCTGTTCTCTTCAGCTGGCTGGCTCCAGAATTGGCCATAATCTCTCATCGTCTCCTCCCCAAACGACTCACTCGTCGGTTTCCATTTAGGTTCCACTTGAGGTCCTGGCGATCGATGTCATTCGACGGCCTCTTCAAGGTGTGCCCGACCAGCCAACTTCCATTGTCTCCCACATATTTGTTGATCTACCGCCTGTTAGTTTGTTCCCAGACCGTCAGCCAACCGGCCATTTGGTGTTAAGTAAAGAGCAATCCAGGGAAGGTGGTAGCTGTTGATAGAAGTCTGAAGTGGAAATTCTTTCCGTGACGCATATGCAGTGCAAGTTTCTGACCCGTATAGAAGAACTGACTGGCTGACTTCACATTTGTGTTGAAAAGAATCGGAATCTTGTTATTTATGCTGGCTGAGTCAGGCTGGAAGATTCCCAAATTGGTTTTAGTTTGATGAAGGCGTAACTTCTCTTTCAGATTCTGGCTGTCTGGTGTTGACATCTTCATCCGTTCAGACTGCTTGTGGTTGAAACGATGCTTTCTCACCAGATAAGTGAAGGAGGCAACATCTGTGAAATCTCTCCCGTTGATGGTGACTGGTGCTGGTTGTTGTTGCTGTTGGTGTTGTTGTTTGGTTATCTTCATCATCTCAGTCTTCTCTATGTTCATCTGGAATTTGAGTCCTGTCTTCCATGGAAGGCAGTTTTTTCAGCCAATTTGTTACTTATCGCCTGTTAGTCTTTGAGTTTGTTTGACATTAGACATAAATCATCCACTCGTGAAATCCAGATCTTCTAAAGTCTTTTTATTAGTCCAGCATATTCGTGTCTTCTCATTCACGTGCACATTCTGAAGCATAATGCAGTCCACCACAATCAGGAATATCAATGTGGTTGATAACAGGCGACCAGCTTTTCTTACTCCTGTATTCACTTCGAACACCTCACTGAGTGTTTACGCTGTGAATCACCTGACAAGTGGCATTGTCATATAGCCAGCTTTTGAATGAGGTTGATAAAGGCTTGGTCACTGCACGCATTATTTTCCTTTAAAATCACCCTTTCTATTGAATAATAAAGGGAGTTTATGAGAACATAGATATGAAGAGATTGGATCTTTTTCATAGTTACCTTCGAGAGTGTTGATAAATATGCGATCGTAGACACGAATGGACGGAATTCTCGAAATCTAAGTGATAATTTTAGTAGTCATTTAGGGATCCAATACAAAAGTGCAGTATATTCTAGAATCATTCAAAAACAAAGGTGTTTATCTCGAATTTGCCAAACCTACTTTATATATATTCATGAATGTATAGTTTAATAAATGTCTTAGTTGAACAGAATATGTTATTCGTCTTCAAAGAGTTTAATCACCATCCCAGGTAGTAACCAGACTTCAATGCGTCATTGGATATTTAGAGTACAATGAAATCTGTCTTGTTCTCACTCATTTTATTCGTGTAGTCATACAGATGGATATCCTCAAAGAGTTCAATCATTGTTTTCCAAAAATACCTCAAATATTCAAATTCCTACCGTGTTTTATTCATATCTGAAACCAATTACTCAGAAACAACTTGACTCAAAGAAAAGTGTTTAGAAAAAACCACAACTTACACGAAATCCATTCTCGAATACATCTTGCCAAACAATCGGTGATGTTGTCCATTCTGATGAATTCGCGCCTAGAATAGTCGTCATAAGTCGCTGAAAATAATAACTCTCCAATTTTGTATAGTCATCCCCATATCCTTTGTCATTCATAAAGTTCCGGATGAAAGGATTGGATTTCCTGAAGAATTGAAGTGACGCGAAAAAATACATGCATGGAAAGAATGCGACAATAGCTGTGACTTTTACCACTAAGCTACTGAACATCAAATTACAACAGTAATAAAGGAAATCACCATAGGAGCAGTGAACAGAAATGCCTCACTAAGTGATGTCGATTCCGGGAACGATGTACCTTTATATATTATCCGCAATGGTTAGTTTCGATGTCAACACTTTACTTTCAAACTGAAGTTGCAGCGAAGAAAATTTTCTTTTCGACGAAGTACATCAACTAGATAGCTGTACATTCGTGTATTTATAATAAATGGGTGGGAAAGTTCCAGAATAATTTCCGGTCAAGGGTCAAATTAATAAAATTACAATTAGGAATTAAAATGCCATAATAAACAGGTGTGGGCGGATAAAATTCAAACAAAGTAGCATCATAATTACTGAGAAGATTGATATATTGTGCAATTGAGATATAAATGTAAAATTACAAAAATAGTCTTGATGTTTGGATTAAAAATCTAGTAGGATCATAATTAATGTAACGAATAATTGTTCTCCGCAAGCCTACGACTGACGTTTTCCTGCAAGAAACTGTTCAGCCAGAACGCGAAAGACAGGCTGTCGCATTGGGCCACTTCAACATGCATATACCAGTTTACTTGCTCGTGCGGAGCTGAGTACATCGGCCGTACCATGGCACATAGTACGGCTGATGTACTCATTTTCTTGCAGAAAAACGTTAGTTGTAGGCTTGTTGCGAAGTATATCTTCCTCAGAGATTCGCAGAGGCATTTACGAACAATTTCGGCTTCAGGGGCATCTTTGTATTCCAGATTAAGCAAAAGCATCTTCTTCGGGACAGATTGAACTTGCTCGTCATTCGGAAAATCCATCAAAATAATATAAAAGATTTGATAAAATTTATCAAAGGGAGTAAAATTAAGATATATGGGCATAGCCAAGGCACTCACAATCCAGAAGCTCAAACCCACGCTATGTGTCCAAAAAATACATCCAACCCTTGTCCTTGTCATGGACATCATAAACAGGTAATTCTTTTAACAGTGACTATAGAATTGACTTTCTTATCCAAACTTTCTGTTTATTCATGTTATTTTTAAGTTTTTCTTAATCCCTATTTACACTACGATATTTTCATATCCCAACTTTCTGTCTATTTTGTCATTTTATTTCAACATGTTCAATCACTAATCGCATCAACAATTATTCATTACATTAGTTATGACCCTAATAGATTTTTTATCCAAACATCCTATTTTTGTTATTTCTACATGTCTAATCCCTAATTGCACAATCAATGTCATTCTTCCCAATAATTATGATGCTACTTTGTTTGAGTTTTATGCGTCCCCCTTAATATGTGTGCAAAACTTAGGCCCTGTGGTAGTAATTAATTACATATTAATTTGTTTATAAGATGTATCACGCATTGAAACAGTATTATTTACTGAATGACGTTCCGAACAATAATTTGAGCGCCGAGTTCGACTGATTCATTATAAATTATTTAAATTAAATCTAAGTGTGTTTAAAAAAAGTCAAAACAAGATCTGTTTTCTGAACGTTTCGCTCTATGAGCCACCACAGCTTATTCATCTAGCAGAACTATTCGGATTTTAGTAATCATCAAAATTTATAGTCAAAAATGTTTTTTTCATAAACTGATGTCAGTTCATTTGATGAGGGTCATTCGTTGATAGACATTTGTACCAATAGAAATATGCAAGCAGTCATCATCATATATTTGTAATGGCTAATGTCAAATTGTTCTTGTGTATACTTTTTGATTGATGAAAAATGCCTCTTAAAATTTTCGAATGAATGGTTACTGAAAAAAGAATACTCTTTTCGATGACTTCATCATCAGACTCTACAATTATATACATATAATAGTGAATGAATTAGTGTTATGAACAACATTAATGTTGTTTAAATAACACCCAATCAGTAATAATAGTAATATCAATGGATTAAAATTGTATAGCATCAACATAACAATACATTGAATATCAGAAAAATTAGGATATATAATATTACACATTTATGAATCTATAGTCTCCACTGAAGGCCATGGCAGTAGTAGTGGTTGGACTTGTTTCTTTCGCACACAAAGCACTGGTTGTTTTATACGAATCGCGATAGCCTCTGCTGTTCAAAGCATGTGGTACTTAGATGTTTTGGGTAATTTATTTGGCACCCGGTAGATGGTAGAGAAGGATTCTTAAATGCTGACTTTGTGGCCAGTTTGGACCAGAGTGTCTAATATCGAAATGTTGATGATTTTTGCTACACCTGTGCTCAGTCATACTGGTCGATGTTCTCGAGCACGAAAAATGAAGTTCCTAGAGCGACGGCCAACATAACTTGCTTCATCACAAGCGTAGTTGAATTGGTAAATTCAATTAGAAGTGGCTGGTCTAGTCTAGGTACTTCATCTTTCAATTAGGCGATCACCATCGGTCGTGTAGAGAATAAGACGTGTAGTTCGCTAGCATTGAAGGTTCTTTGAACTGATTTTCTTAATTTCTTCGTAATTATTTCACTTGGTTTATAGCCATTGAATTGCAGTCGTATATATAAAAGCTTCTTTTTTACGAATAGTGAGTAGTCCTTTTCCCCTTTCCTTGTCATGTGTTTCATGATAAATTTGTTGGGATAGCTATTTTCAATCAAATTATCATATACAGTGCTTAATTCATCTTCAGTTACTTCTTCTGAACACATAGCACTCACTCTATAGCTGAAGGTCTTTACTAAATTTCTTTTGTACTGGAGAGGAACGAAGCAGTGAAAATGTGTATATTGTCCTGTCCATATACTTTTTATGCAAAATTCTCCTTATGCTACCATCTGGTCTTCTTGTAAGGAGGACATCCAGGAAGACAACTAGTTCTATTTTGGAATTCTTCTTCGCACGTGAATTTCATTGTCGAATGTACTTCGTTGAATTCAGTTATTATTGTGTTCGTATCAGATTCGCTATCACAAAGAATAAGGGTGTCATCCACATACCGGCAATAAAATGAGAACTTGCTGATAAGGTTGTTCAAAGGTCCATTTTCTAGTTTACTTATAAAGAAATCAGCCAAAATGGGACCCAATGGGGAGCTCATCGGCACCCCGTCCACTTTTCCGTAAAGTGTGCCATCAAATTTGAAATTTACATTCATGGTACGCCTGAAAAGCAATTCTTTTAGGATTTCCTTCGGGATGCCAAAATTTATCGACTGGTTATGCATTTGTTCACATACGTAGTTAAACGTTTATACTAGAGGTACATTTGTGAATAAAGATGTTATGTCCAGAGATACCATAGTTTTGTCCTTGATACTAATATCTTTGATTTTGTCTGCGAATTCAAATACATCTTTGACGTTATATTTCACTATCTTCTCATGCAAAGGTTTGAGAATATTTACTAACCATCTATATTTTTTGTATGAGTGTGTGTATGTTTTTTGTCATGTGGAAAAGAAGTCAATTCACATGTGATAAACATGATAATACATTTTTTTTAAGGTCATGGAAGTTTAAAGAGGCTTTTTTCATCTGTCTTGCTTCATTAGAGTTTACCATATAAGTGATAAGTTTATCCCTTCTTTTCAATTCACTGCATTCTATGTGGTTAAATGTGCAAGGCTTCAAAGGTCAGTCTTCCTTTATGTGAATAAAATCCTCTTCCAAGAATATCGACATTGTGGAAATCAATCTTAGGTCCGCTGTCCACCGCATGCAGTGCTGCAGCCGATCTTTTTTCTAGACTTTTTAATTCTACTTCATTTCTAGGTGGACGTTTCATGCAGAGTCTGTGTTCATTCACTCTGACCTTCACCTGTCTACTGCTCTCACCTATATAGCATGCTTCACATTCTGAACACTTTAATATTATATGAAGCAAACAGTCTTTGAAGTTGTTCAGTTGTGTTCTTTCGATATAGAAACCGACACATTCCAACGATTATTTGAATTCCCATTCAGATCATCCAATAGCAATGAAAGTTTCAGTAGCTTCAAATCTCGTTAACAGAACTGGAAACATTATAACAGATAATGATGATGTGGAGAACGAGATATCCAATATAAAACAGATTTTGGTTGGAAATGGTTATCTGGAGAAGCCACTAGATAATATTATCAATAAAAAAGAGCAGAACGGATGACTTCTGAAGCCTTGCATATTTTTAACCATATCGAATGCAGTGAATAGGAAAGAAGGGATAGACATATCACCTATATTGCAAACTCTAATGAAGCAAGTCAGATGGAAAAACAACAAAAACCTCTATGACCTGACATGATGTTTATTAATATTTAATATCATGGTTATCACATGTGAATTGATGTCCCGTTCCATATGACAAATAGCATACACTCACACACACTCATACAGACAAATATACACAATAACAATTTGACATTATTCATTACAAATATATGATGACTGCTTACATATTTCTGTTGGTACAAATGTCTATGGACAAGTGACTTTGAAATAAACTGACTTCAATTTATGTAGAAGTTTTTGACTATATATTCAGATGAATAATAAAATCCGAATAATTCTGCTGAAGAAGCTGTGACTTACACAGTGACACCTTCAGAAAAATCTAGTTTTGATTTTTTCTTAAACACGCTGAGATTAATTTAAATAATTTTTAATGTACCTGATTTCTGGCTAGCTGTTTTCATGAACTTGTGATACCTTAAATCCAGTTTACCCAACTATAGCATTACTAGGAGTTAGATACAACCGCACAACAAGATGGGACAAGGTGACAGACCTAAAATTTAGTGTAAGAGTGTGGATAGAGAGAGATTAACAGGTATAACTTTATTTATTGAACTAACTGAGAACACATGTCATAGGAGTGACTCATCACCCGAGACAGAATATCTAGAAGATTCCACTACACTCCTGACAAATGGGAATGAAGAATGAGAACGTTGAAACCTGAGTTTTGACGTTGAACAATAAAAATGTGCTCAAAATGTCATCCAGTAAATAATACTGTTCCGCTGAGTACGATGTATCTACTACACAAAATAACAAAGAATCGTATACTGCCACACTGACCAAGTTTTACATATTTATCAACGATATTTATGTTTATAAATCACATACTTCTGTCTCTCAGTGACCAAAAACCCTAATAGATTGTTTCGCTAGCATTTATCCGATCGATTATACATAAAGCTGAAAAACTGTGGCTTGATAACTTACCAGCAATCATAAGATACATCACTGCCGCCTAGATGAATCATACTGTCGGGAAATGCTGTCAACACTTCATTGAAAATTCTCGATAGAAAGGTATAAGTGTTATTTTCAGTTGGATTGATAGGACCATAGGCAAAATCTGGTTCATCGCCTTTAAAACATCTAGTGAGTAATGAGGCAGTTGGTAGGTTCCATCGCGTTGTATGAGCTGAAAAAGAACAAGAGAAGAAGGAAGATTTCTATAGACAACTACAAACAGTAATGGACAACATCCCAAATGGCAGCATCAAAATCCTTATGGTATATGTGAATGCCTGTTGACTGGGAGCAGATAATACAAGAAGAGAAGTCTAGAAGATCTGGATTTCTCTGATAATACATCTCCGATGTCACACAGACTCGAAGTGTGACAGGCGAAAGGCGACAGACTGACAGAGGAGGCTGGCTGGCAGAGAAGACGAACCTTTGTCCATTAGCAAGCATAGTGTCAGAGCGTCATAGTAAAATAAGGCATTGAGATATACAGGGTGTCTAAAGTGTCACGACATATACTTATATATATCTTGGTAGAGAGAAGTTTCTTGAAAAAATTAGTTAACAGTTGTGTTGTTAGGGTGGTGACAAAAGACAATTAGCAATAGTTACGTAATTAGATAAGAGAAGATCAAAAATTTTAAAATTACGGTGCACATGAGGTCAGATGAGAAGTTGATGATGTAATACAGTGAGCAGAACTCAGAAGATCAAGAAAAATTTATCTCTTAAGAGAGTCAAGCGAAACACAAAAGAGAGAGGGGTGGAGTGAAAAGATTAGAAAACAAAGAGTTACTAAGAAGTGAGTTACCAGATTAACTGAAGTCCAGCAACGGATTCTTTTTGGACACATAAGTGAGGCTTCAATCGTTTTATTGCTATAGCTTCAGCAAACCTGAGAAGACTTGAGGTACTTTGTCTGTTAATTATTTACTCGGTGCCCTGTGTCAATCAGGTGTTTTGCGACTGAAGAGCTTAAATAATTCGGTCCCTTTAACCGGAGGCTCCTTGGTACATGTTAGCAGAATCTGACGTAGGCCCTCCTCTCTGTTCCTCCAATGTAACTGCTCCCGCAGATACATATGAATTGGTATACACAGTTGAAAGCAACATGTGAGGGGTACTTGTCAATCTTTGACTGCACCAGTGAAGAGGTTGTTCGGGATAGAGACACTAATAACGCTGCAGGATACGTCATAGATAGGGCTACGCCTAATCTTTTATTTATCATTCTCATAATGTCGTCGCCCTTGTAGTCGAGTTTGATGAAAATAGTCTTCTTACTGACTGTAGCAGTATCAAGCTTCTTGAGTTCATTCTTGCCATATTTGTTAATGAAACTTTGTGGGTAACCATTCTCTTTCAAGCATTCAAGAAACAACAAAAACCAACAGCAATCACCATCAGCAGGAGAGATTCAAATGAGGTTACTTCCTTCATTTATCTGTCCAGGAAACACTGTTTCAGCAGGCATTTGGAGGGGATGAAGATGTCAAATGAAACCAGCCAGAATCAGATACACCTTCATCAACCTGGAAACACTTTGGAAATCTTTTGCTCTCATTCAGCCAGTGTAAAGAAGCAGATTCAGATTTGTAACACCACTGCCAAGTCATTCGGTTCCTCTATACGGGTTAAAAAAACTTGCATTGCGAGTATGTCATCGAAAGGATTTCCAACAGCAGCCGCCCACTTCGCTGACTGACTCCATAATGAAGATCAAATGACCAGCCGGATGGCTTTACAGACGGGAGTAAAACGAGAGATGGATGCTAAAATGTCTTGAATACATTTATTCTTGATTTGTTGTCTAATAATCGCGTACAGTTGATAGTCTCTGTTTCTCCACTTACCTTTGTTTCGGGATGAGTTTTAAAGCCTGAGATTATGTTCCGAGACAGTGAATTGTAGGACCATTTCAATCTCATATCTATCTAGCCGCTAAATGGTGTTTCTATTATTTTCCCCAACATAGAATTCACTTGCCACAGGATAATCGACAAGAACCTCTACAGACAAATCAGAGGGAGAATTTCTCATGCTTGAAAAGATGTCGAAAAACAACTTCAACCCTCAGAAATCCGAAAAGACTTTAAAGGCAATAATATTAACGGAATGGTAAACAGAAGATTAAGTACTATTCCAGACAGAACCCATCCTGCAGCTAATTTGGTTCCCACTTATCAGACAACGCGCTCTCTGGTGCAGTCAAAGGTTGGCAGATACCATTCTCATGTTAATTTTAACTGTGTATGCAAATTCACGTTTATCTTAGGTAGCAGTCACATTGGGAGAACAGAAAGAAGGGTGTAACTTCCATTTTCCCCAAACATGTATCAAAAAGCATACGTCTCAAGGGAACAAACCGTTCCAATAATGGCACCATCAGGCATTTCGTCGATTTGGGTCACGGGAAAGTCACCATGAAATCCTTTAAAAGTATCAGTAGAGAAAATACTTCAGTGCCTCTTAAGTCTTACGAAGCAACTGGTATCAAACGCCTAAAATCCGATTTATGTGTTCAGAAAAAAGTAGTTATCACTCCTAATCTGGTGAATCCATGTCTTCGCTTTTGTATTCATTTGATTACCTGTTATTTGGCTTTAACCTCTTTTCCTTTTCGCTATAGTGTACTCTGGTCTGTCTTTTGTCCCTATGATTTGAAGGGAACTCACCAGATTGTATTTTGACTTATTAGTGAATTAATATCTTTTCTATCTCCTGTCGTTATTACGTAACCAACCCCTTTGCCACTGCATTAAAACATTAATTTTTTCAATAAAGCGGTAATATTCATTCAGACGTTTAGATAAAAACAAAGCAAAGAATACCCTTTTTCATAATTTCTTCTTCCAGCTCTACAGTTATATATAAATATATTCATATACACAGAATATTCTAGAATAATTGTCATTAACAATATTGGTGTATTTTTAAATAGTATCGATTTTTTAAGTTCACAATGGAATCACAGTTCAAGAAAGACGTTTAGGTTATAATAAACGTAAGAATGCAATTAAAGATAATAAAGACACTGATGGCCAAGATAGGAACAAGGTCTGAACCAACATCTTCTTTTGGATATATAAAATAGTTTTTTCATGTAGACGCCAACATTTTTGTTTGTTTATTAGATGTATCACACAGTCAGTGAAACAGTATTATTTACTGGATGACATGTTTCGAACACAATTCATCATTGTTCATAATCATATCATCAATTATAATCACACGACTTCGAAACTTGAGTTTTATATTCTCCTTTGTTCTCTCCTATTTGTCGTAGGGGTAGTAAGATTTTCCAGATGTCCGGCTGGACAGGTGTTGAATCATTCTTATTACACGTATTCTCCTCAGTTGATTCGATAAACAAAGCTTCTTTTGATTTGACACTAGTAACTAGTGTGATGCGTCTAGTCCTCTCTTTGGTGCAGACTGAATTCTATCAGTCAGGTTGTAATGTGGCCACCATTCTAGGTAGCTCGCCACCACGGTGTACATTGTTTGTGATGATATTAGATGGTTGGAGGCAAGCTATGATGGCAAGCTACCTAGAATGGTGGCCACATTACAACCTGACTGATAGAATTCAGTCTGCACCAAAGAGAGGACTAGACGCATCACACTAGTTACTAGTGTCAAATCAAAATATCCACTACAGTCCTACAGGAGGTCAATCGCGAGCCTGAATAGCTCAGTGGTAACGTCTCTGACTGCAGGCGGCACTGGGTGATGCGGGTTCGAATCTCAGAAGGGACATGAGTTCCTTCAAGTTTGCAGATACGCCTTACTGGTTGGTGATTGCCAACTCGCACGAAACCTAGGTCCAAGGCCGATTGCCTCCAACCATCTAATATCATCACAAACAAAGCTTCTGTTATCAATATCTCCCTCCACCTTGCTGCTACATTTGATTTCAAAACTGTCATTTTATCTCACCCGATTGTATTTTATGGTTGTGAATAATTACGTGTAGTTTAGTGCTATGGCTGAACTATTCTCTAAATTTCTTATCTTATTCGGGTCAACTTATATAGATTTCGCTATGTTTTATACTCGGTTATTCTGACTCACTGACCATTTTCTACTAGTTTGACCTATCTATTTGACCTGACAATCATTGCAGGGTATTAGAGAAACTAAATTGTTTCGTTTTAAACTCTCCACAGGATAGATCCTTTAACCGACAAAGCTCGTTTCTAATTGAGTTTGTGTGTTTGAATGCCGGCCAGTTTTATTCCTACCTGCATTCTTAACAATCTTCCTTAAGGTTTTCGAGGTTCCTACCTTGTATGGAATTACTACTGATGATTTAGATTCCTTATCGTTGGTGTTATCATTATCTTGCTCATGTTTGCTATGCACGTCGTCATTAGTATTACTATTAATATTATAATCACTATCACTACTATCATTGTTTATTTTATTTTTACATTTCCCTACATATTTTCCGGCTAACTTATCAGGGTAATTATTAAGTTTCAAAGCTTCTCTTATATGCCTCACTTCCATTCTTAGATTTTCCTTGGTACTACTTAGTATTTGTGCTCTAGCAAATCTAGATTAGTTGACCCGAATAAGATAAGAAATCTAGAGAATAGTTCAGCCATAGCACTAAACTACACGTAATTACTCACAACCATAAAATACAATCGGATGAGATAAAATGACAGTTTTAACATCAAATGTAACAGCAGGGTGGAGGGAGAGATTGATTACAGAAGCTTTGTTTATCGAATCAACTGAGGAGAATACGTGTAATAAGAATGATTCAACACCTGTCCAGCCGGACGTCTGGAAAATCCTACTACTCCTACGACAAATAGGAGAGAACAAAGGAGAATATAAAACTCAAGTTTCGAAGTCGTGTGATTATAATTGATGATATGATTATGAACAATGATGAATTTTGTTCGAAACACTGTCATCCAGTAAATAATACTGTTTCACTGACTGTGTGATACATTTAATAAACAAACTAATATGGAATTACTTACTACCACAGTGCCCAAGTTGTACACATATATTAGTAGACGCCGAAAGCCAGCCTCAGTAATATGTAGTAGACGAACTCTTCAGGTAAAGTTAAGATTAGTCGGTATGAGGTTGATTACTTTGAAATCTGACTCGTTAACATCAATCTTGTGTTCTGTATTCACGAGATGAGATAGAATAGCTCTATGAGTAGATTTTATTTGTCCTTTCATTAATTAGCCGTGATGGTGTCTGGAAATTTGACAGTAAGCAGGCTAAATTGTTATGGCCTATCTAACTGCCTCCACAGAAGCAGTTAAATTGGTAGATACACAGATAAGAGGCAAAAGTAGGCAGTTTATCTTTAACTCCCTGAAAGTAAAGTAGGGAGAGAGAGTAATTCAGCGTCAAGGAATGCTTTTTTTACCACCGTACTCTTTAGACGGTGTGTTAATATCTCACTGATGTTATCCTACGAGAGCGTTCTGTGTATATAAATTTATTTATTTTTTGTTTAAACTGGAACCTTCTGTGTCAAAGCTATGTAAGTGCAACTTATAAGCACTGTGTTTTAGTTTTGGAGTCAAAGTGTCAATTGGCATAGTTGGCGTAACATTTCCAAGTATGTCAAATTTGTTCTCCACATTAACTTAAGGATATCTTTGGGCTGTAAGCAGATGATGGGAAGCCGAGAAAATAAACGAAGACAACATCTTATTCCGAAAAATCTGTCGTTCTTACTTCATTCAAAAGAACATCTTCTCTCAGATCTTGAGCTTGATGACACATCCGCTAGACAGATGCGCTAAAATCTTTGAAGTTATTCAGCTTATAATATAAATCACCAAGAAGGTTGTTTTAAAGTCATTTCTACAGTAAAATCGAAGCAGTCCATCAAAAACGAGGAACTGATGTACAACAAAAATACCAAATTTTGATTCAATTACATACTGACGGCTTCCAATTGTCCCAAGAAATGGAAAGCAAACACTCTTAACATATGCAAAAACTAAATTACATGTAATTACTGTAATTTAGTCTGAATTAGAAACAACAGATTCAAGCTTCACCTTTGAAGATTTAGTGAAGAATATGTTTTCCACCAGTCGGGATTGCTAACCTCACGCGTCAACCCGTGTAATCAAACCCGGACCAAACCAACTGCTTATCTGTCAAGTATTCTCATGTTGAACCACCGATGCGGTTTACAAGTTAATCTCATGCTGTGTAGTTCTGTTCATTGCATTAATGTTAGAAAAGAGCCAACCGAAAAAAGAAAACGTCAAAAATTCATACATCGTATAACCGCTTACCTGGTGTTTCAAATTCTGGTATCACACGTACACCTCTTAAACGTGCATACTCCAACAATCCAGTAACTTCATCTGGTAAATAAAATGTAGATTTATCATCATAAGAACCCTTAAAGTACATATGATGATGTCTTCATTTCAACAACTTTACCCATGTTGACAGTTGTGGATATGAGAAAAAGAAGAATGGAAAGGATTCATCATCTGTCACATGCCAATGAAGAGTGTTCATTTTAACCATGGACATTGCATCCTACATAAAAACAAAACGACAACAACAAGATATTTCAAATTCGTTCAGTTCCCACTTACTATCATCTTCTCGATTTCAGAAATACTGAGAAAATGTCTAGCCGTGTCGATCATAATTCCACGATGTGTAAATATCGGCACATCATTGATAACACCTTGATAAATCACTTTCTGTCAAACCGAATTGTGTAAAGCACAGCGCCAGTAGAAGAAATAAGATCTTAGAAACTGAAAAGAATAATTGAACATACCGAATCGGATTCACTTCTGTAGACTAGTTGAAGAATCGTCTCCAGGGCATGCAGTGTTCCCCATATCTCTTGTGAAGATATTTCTATTACCCCATCAGTTATGTTCACCAAGTCTGTAAATGAAATGTGAGTTGAAATGAGGAGACAATCGAAGTGAGTGAGTGGATATTCTACTTACATGATTCATCCATCATATCAGATGGCCAAAGTTTGTTTTCCGTCTCATCACACGATTGTTCTATATCCAGAGACAGTGATGTTACAACACAGCTGACAATATCATTCGATGCTAACACGGGTGTATTACTACTGATTGTCAAACGTTCATAGAATCGTTTCAATGCTTCCATTAGAATGAAACATGAGTGGTAGTCATGTATAAATTCTAGGGTTTCATCAATATGACACAATGTAGTTGTTTGATTGTATTCATATGGTTTAGGAATTAGTGCTGTGATCAATACTGTGAAGTGAATAAGGACTATGATGCATGGAAACCAGTTTCTATTCATTTTTGTTATGTGGTGATTGATTTCAATCGAGTATATATGAGTATATACGTTTTTTAAATAAAGTGCTGTGTAGATTTATATGATTTGTGGACTTTTAACCTTCAGGAATCATGTAAATAGACTGATAGAAGGACAGATTGATAAAGGGAGAGAGAGAGAGGATAGGGTGATATTATGATGTTGAAAAAGTTGGAATTCGACTTATAAGTTTTATTTGTACTTTTTGTCTATGAACAGCGCTTCTATGCTAAAGCTTAAAACTAATGAACTTATGCTTAGCTAATAACCCCTTTATATTTTCACAATAAATAACAGGATAGCTTTATCTAAGAATCCATAGTACAAAGTATTTCATCTTTGAACATTCTATGCTTTGAATTATCATACAGTTATTCAGTTTTCGCGCGTAAATATTGTCTAGTTTGCCTTAAAAGTCAGACCAGTTGATTATTATTATTATTGTTTCCTCTAATTCCTAGAGGAATATAGGGATTCAGCCACACCTCTCCGTTGCGTTTGGTTCTCTGTCAACGTTTTCATCACCTGGCTCCACGTCTGTCCACATGCTTTCATCTCCTCTTCGTATGATCCTTCATGTCAACCTCACACTGACCACCAAACTGCCGCCTCCCATTCGAGTTCCACTCGAGTGATGGCCTGGCGTGTAATGTCCGTCACTTGATGGTCTTCTCAGAGTATGATCAATCCACCCTCACTTCTTCCTACATATTTGTTGCATAATTGGCTCCTGTTGGGTTGGTTCGTTACCAGATCTTTTCAATTCACATTCAACAACCTTTACTCCAGACGAACCAACGGCATTGCCATGGGTTCTCCATTGGGGCCAATTCTGGCAGAAAATTCTTTCTTGCTAAGCTTGAAAATGGTCCATTGAAACAATTAATCGATAAAACTGATTCTTATTTCCGCTATGTTGATGATACGTTTATTATTATTGATGTGAAAGCTGAGAAGAATGAAATGTTAATAAAATTTAATGATGCACATCCATCACTCATCTTCACTTGTGAAGAAGAACATGATGGTAGACTGCATTTCCTTGACGTCCAATTGAGCAGAAGAGAGGATGGTTCACTCAAGAGAGATGTCTATAGAAAAACCTACATCTGTAGGACAATACACACATTTCCTCAGTTTTGTACCAATCCGATACAAAGTCAATTTAGTCAGATGCCTCACGAATAGAGCAAGAAGTATTTGTACAGATGACTCCCTACAAAATGGGTTAGCATACATCCAAAATACGCTGATCCAAATGGGTTATCCTAGTAGATTTGTAAAGAGACACATGAACACCAGGTACAGTGAAGAGAAACTGACAGCAGTTGAAAAGAAACAACCGTTTATGAAATTGCAATTTTATGGGTACGTGGCTACCGAAGTCTTACATCTGAGATTATCGAGAGCAATAAAACGGACTTATACTGCCGCCACTATTCGTTTGTCACTTTTCAGCCGACCAATTATGATTGCTTAAGTGAAAAACAAGCTACCTAACTGTGCCACTTCTATGTGTATCTATAAATTTAGTCGCTCCTGTGGAGAAAGTTATATAGGGCGAACATCTAGACAGCTTAACCGCATTAATGAGCATCTTCCTTCCTTCCTGGTTTGAAAAAGGTCAAATAAAACCTATAAGAAGTTCTATTTTGGCTCATTTGATTGACAGCGGTCACCAAGTGGACAAAAGTAGTGCTTTCAAAGTTATCTATCGCATTCCATCGAGCCTTTCCAACGGAATTCGAATCCGTCTTTTACACAAAGCCGAAGCTATGGGAATTAATTCGAGTGAATAATCCTAGTCTTTGCACACAAAAGAAGTTTGTTCTACCTTTGTCTCTCCCTTGCTTTGCCTAGGTGAAATTCTATTCAGAACCCTCCCACCCTTTCTTATTTTCCATCTCCTTCGTACTTTTATGATATTTATTTAAACTCTGATTATCTGTCCACTTCACCTTTTAATATTTGACGTACTATGTTTGTTATTCTCATCGCCACCTGCATAAACCTTATTATCAATATTTTGTTATCATTATAATCATCGTAATTAAATACGTTCAAAACATTTACGACATTACTATGATTATTATTTTCATTATTATTATTACTATGATTATTTGATCCACGAAATCACCGTCATTGGTTAAAAATTTAATCCTTACAAACCAAACTATAGAAAATTATTCTGATGCTCGCTAGTGACTTGCTACAGGTTGGAGCTTCCTGCAGTTCTAGTGAGAAGTCGTGACCAGTGAGGTGCAATTAGAAGTCACGTGTGGATGGATTTCCACCAACGACAATAGTTGGGGTCGCGCTAAAATCACGAATTGGTAGAAGTTAGAATTCATGAGCCATTGAATCGGGTCCCAGTGGCTGAATGGTATACGAGCTTGCCTTGTAAGCGGAAAATCCTGGGTTCGAATCCCAGTGGGTGTGTACTGCCGATGATTCCCAAACTAGGATGAAACAGCAGCTGTCCAGTACTCCCTGGTTTTCAATGGTTCTCTAACTGATATCAGTCCGTGATCAACTCGTAAAACATAACTAATCCTTACAAACCAATCTACAGAAAATATATTAGGTATTTTTATTTAATAATCACGTAGTGATACAGTATTACCAATCGGATGACGTTTCGAGCATAAATTATTGCTCCTCATAATCATATCAATTTAGTTACACAGTTTCACAATTTGTCTTATATATTATATTTTCTCTCTTTCCGTCACTCCAACTTCCCTCTGTTGTTTTTTGCCACTTTCCATATCACCGGCATGGGCGTGGCGTCATTCTGATTGCACGTGTGTGCTGTTGAATAGATAAACAGAGTTTCAGTGGTTAACCTCTATCTCACTCAATCTAACCACTATGTTGCTTTTTAATACTCTCAACCTGTAACACCTATCCTATTTTGTAATTGCATGCAAGTTAATTCAGTGCAATGGCTGAGCTCTTTTTCTAAAAGTAATAATAATAATAATCTACTTTATTCCAAGACTAACGGTGCTTATAATCCAGAATGTAATTCTCAGTATTTGTCACAATATTGCATCCGATTTACTTAAAACATAAATAAAATTAAAAATTAAAACAAAATTAACCAGAGGAATTTGTCCACGTTTACGATATAAAGTCAAAAATATTCGAAGCGCGAATTGAGAATATTAAATATAATAATGAAAATAATAATAGCAGTGAGTTTGTTTCAAACAGTATTGGCGATTCAGTTTGGAAATTTTAGCATGTTATAGATTAGTGGATCTAATGTTCTGTTGATATAGCAGCATGGTGAGGGGAAATACGAAATTAACAGTTATAATACAGCTTAAATGATGTTCACACTTATGAAAAAAATAAACAAAACAAAAATTGAGAGGATTATAAATATAAGAAATACAATAACAATAAAGTTTGATGTTGTAAGGGTCGAGGAAATGGTTTATTTAGCAGTGCAAAGAAGGTTAGTTAGTTCATGCCTAACACTATTTTCATCACACAGAATACGTGCCAACTACGGTATAGTGGAAATTTCATACTTAGGCGTACGTGCATAAAGTCTTTTGAAAAGACTTCTTGTTTTACCTGAGGAGACACAAGGTTGGAGCTGAGGTGGATGCCCACAGTCTGACAGAATTCCTTTAGCAAACTTGTTGCATGAAAGCAAATGCTTGTCAGTGATGATGTCAACGAAATGGCCCAATGGGATACCACTCGTCCTAATGACAGTCCTCAGCGTTCTGTGAAATATGATATAGTCTATTTTAAGCAATCCAGGAAAGAATAATACAGTGTGAACAGTAAAGAAGAGTAGGTAAAATATACGAGTTGACAAACTGTAAGAGGAGTGGTTGGGTTATACCTGAGTGCCTTAACTTCTTAATGTAAAACGTCAGACGAAATAATTTTAGAAATCGCTAAGACATTGGAGGACCAGGATAGGTCAGAAGAGAGAATTAATCCAAGATACTTAACTTCAGACTTGATTTCTATATCAGTATCATCGATTTTGCAAGTATCATAGGAACCAACGGCTTCATTTAATTTTCGTTTACATTAGAGTCTGAAATTTACAGTTTGACATTTGGAAGGATTAAGTTTAAGGTTATTTAACTTAACAGGGTCAATCATTCTAGGTGTAGCTAAATTTCTTTGTTCCAATAATCTAGTTGACCCCGGCCTACATTAATTTGACCTGTGCTTTTATTGGCCTCACTTACAGTCATCGCATGATATTTAGGAAATTATATTCTTTTTTCTTAATGGATCATTTGGGTCCTTAAGC